GTGGCGACGCATGGCCGTTGGGTAAGCATTTAAACGAACGGACAGCGGATGTCAGATCCTGGAAGAATCCTGTGAGGGTCTGAAAAGACATGCGGAGCGTCTGTGCGTTGCAAATGCGCTGCTCGTCTGAAAAGACATTGCAGCAGATCACTGTACAGAAAAGGAGAGGACAGTTGGTCACCTGTCCAAGCAGTCACGAGCTGGGGAACATCAACATCGACAACAGGAAATGACATAAAAATTGGAGGAAGATATTAAAAAGAAAAAAAAAAAGGATTGAACACGAACAAGGTAGCAGACCATCGGAGGCACCATAAAACAAACCCTCCAGGTTCGTTCTATGGTGCCTCCCTCGGTCTGTTCCCTTGTTTGTTTTCATTCTTTTTTTTGTTTTGTGTTTTTTTTTTGTTTTTTTTTTTGTTCTTTTCTTTGTTTTTTTTAATAACTCTTTGTTTGTTTTTTGTATCTTCCTCCAATTTTTATGTTTATCATGTGATGCTGTCGTCATGCACTCGCGTTTCAGCAGTTGGATGGGCTGGTGTCCCAATGATCTCCTCCCCGCATTCCGGTCCCCGCTCCTCGGCGGTCAGCCATGACGCCGACCAACAGCTGCAGCACAGTGTTTCCCTCCTTTATAGCACTTGCCACAGCACCGACCTAGGTCGCCATCAGCTTCGCACCCTCTGTGCTTGCCAGGGCAAGAGTGCCCGCGGCCTTGTGCATCCCTTCACGCACCGCCAAGGAACCAAGCAGAGCCCTCTCCACAGATGACACCGATGGCTGGTCATCAACATGCTCTTTTCCTGTCGGCCCACACCGTTTCCTCTGCAAGCCGTCCGATTCTTCTGTGCTCACACCACGCCGGCTCCCGCCTTCTGACGACCCATGGCGCTTTCAGCACCCTGCAAGTTCAACGATGCCATGGTGTTGTCACAGGCAACAAACGGTTTTCGATGTGCCCACTCCATCTCCTCCCACAGCGGCTGCTCAAACGTCGTCGGGATTCCCTCCCTTTTCCTATATTCGACGCTTATGTCCCAATATGACAACTTCTCTGACGCGTTGCACTTGTGCAGGATGTTCTTCATCTTCCCCATGAGGTCGGACCACTTCTTCCTGCAGTCCTCTGCCGACTTGACCCAACCAGCAGCCCTCATCTTCCTTGACACCCATTCGTTCCTCATTGACCTCCTCGCGTGCTTCAGTCGACCAGACGCCATTGTCATCTTTGCGTCATCCTCCTTCATGAACCTCACCAGATTGAGGCGCCCCTCCAGCGGCCATGGCCTGGTTCTCCTCTTCCCAGGCACACCGCCTCCCTCCACCTGTGCAGCCTCATCACCTGTGTCCACGTCACTGGCACTCTCCGCCACCCGTACCCCATGGTTGCCGTTCTCGCTTGACTGCCCTTCTTGTGCTCCAAAACGCCAGACGTGCCTCTTCTCCCCCGCCTCGCAAGCAGGGGTGACCATGTTGAGGCCGCATATCATCCGGCAAGGGGGAGTGCATCGCTCGTCCCTATCTCCATGCTGCATCGCTCGTCCCTATCTCCATGCTGCATCGCTCGTCCCTATCTCCATGCTCCCTTGGTGATGGGGACGCACTGATGCCCTGCCACACCCCCGCAACATCTTCGACGACACCCCCGCCCCGACATTGCGGAGGTTCGCCCACGCCCTCTCCGCAGCGCCGGTGCATATGGGATCGACCAAAGGGGGACGCATACAGGCGGGAGCAGGGGGATGCACAAAGGTGGAGCCACCGTGGCCCACCGGGATCCACGTAGTATGAATGGGACCACATGCAGTTCCACCCACCACTGCCGAAGGTAGAGGAAGAATACGTGGGGCAGGGTCTGTGACAGGTCTGCGTGATGCGTCCATGCCGGATGTGTAGGTGACCGGGAAGCGCATGTGCATGGATGTTTGCATGCCAGGACGAGCCCAACTGTCGGGGTCCGATGCCATGGACGACAGTCCCATGGACGGCTCAGCTTCGAAACCAAGGTTTTCGTTGTGCATGTACCTCGGAAACCAGCTTCATTGCCCTGCCGACCCGGGCGTGTCTGACGCCCATCTGCTGCCATCCATCGGTGCGACAGAGAGGGCTACCCGCACCGGCTTCACCTCGACTTACGACGCAGCAGAACACATGAGGCAGCTAGTACGACCAGAACAACGATGAAGAACGTGGCGAGGATGGCGATGAACACACCGACAACGAAGAAGACGACGGCCACAACCAACGTCAACCACCAAACACTGTCATGACGTTTCGGCGAGAGGACAGTAGACAAGGACGGCGGCAAGCATGTCCGTGCACAACGTCAACGATAACACAAACACCCCGCTCAGTACTCCTTGCCCGACTCGCAGATGTGGGAGAACGCCCAAAAGTCAACCTCCCGGGCTGCCGACACGATCGTATCTTCCTGCACATGAAGCGGGTGGAGATGGCCGCACAAGCACAGGAGGCAGAAAGTCCCCGCCAACAACTCGCCTCACGACGCTCGCAGCCTGCGCAACAATGTTAGGGATTGCAATTTTGCCGCAAGCGACAAGACTGTGGTTGCAAGCACCCCACAAAGCCCATCGACATTCCAACCCAAACGTTCGTCGACCATCATAAAAAATTGAGGAACTTGAGCCCACCCAACTCCGAAGCTGCGCAGCCGAGCCACGCAGGGATATCATGCAGACGCGCATGGCAACCACGTAACACGATGATGGGGGCGAAGGACCGTGGACGGAAACACTTAACGGCGACAAAAACATGCATGGCCATGCCCTCTGCAGAGAGGTAGACACACAGGGGCCATGCACAGCACATGCGTTGGGGGACACCCACCGACCTGAAACCACCACCCCTTGCCCCATGCCCGTGGATGCACATGCCCCTGGATACCCCCCTCCCCCGGCCCCCCACCTGGGGTCCCCCTGCAGCGCCCGGAGCAACACATCCCCGTGTGGCCATTTCAATCCGCCTGCTGGCCCAACACCCGCAACCTTTTCAAATTTGAATTTTCGGTGCACGAACGTTTCCCACGAGCCCAAGCCCAACGGACAGAAAAGGGCCTGCCGTGCGACACGACCTCCCCACAGCCTTTGAACCTCGTCTTCCCGTTTGGACCACACCGTTGTCCGCTGTTTCACTCGCCTTCCGGTCCCCGCTGGCGACGGAAAAGGTCCCCGAGGGCTAGCCTTCCTGGTGGGCAGTTTTTCCCAGAAGAGAAACGGTCCACACAAGCCTGACGAGGCCGTGGGCCAAGTGGAAACACCCTCGCATACCCTTCCAGGCCACTTTCTTCGACGTGTGGGGTTGGCGAAAGTGCTTTGTGGTTGCTGGCGGCGAAATTCGCCAGCCCGTGGGGTCCCACCCTGATTGTTCCTCATGTGTGGGATGCTGGACCTGATTTCTATTAGGTGCAGCTCCCCTCCAACAGACCAGAGTCATCCCCACGAGCAGGTCTCCAATGTCAATGATTAAATCGCCACCATTGGGACAGTTGCCCCGCCATAGGGACGTTCTATGGAACAACAACAAAAAACCGTCCATCGGGATGTTTTATGCAACAAAAAGAAAAAGAGAGGGAATGATCGTTGGATGATGTCGGTGGGTTTGCAACTGTTTTTCAGCTTCAGAGGCTGGACCCGGGGCCAAGTCCCACTATTAGCATTGAGTCTCTTCAATGCCTGAATTTGGACGTGCTTTTTGGAGATGTGCAGTTGAGGAAACTCAACGCCATTTCTAGCAGGTGCACCTCCCCACCAATTGACTGTAGCATTTGCTTTTTTGAAAAAAAGAGAAAAGAGGAACATGTCTGCACTGAATTCATGAATGATCAACAGAGAGGCCTTTGTTTTTCCTTTTTTAATAACTATACTTGCTGCATCACACTTCTCAGTTTCTATGTGCAGTTGAGAGTCTTGAGACAGGTTTTTGTAGTCTTGTTACCTGCAGGGTTTTAAATGCAGTTTCGTTGCAGAGGTTTCGGCAGAGTTATGTCGGTGGCCACGTTGTCCCTGGCCCTGCTCACTTGCCGCTGGAAAAAATGCAGCCATTCGATCGATCTATCAAATCGAACGGCTTTCATGTGGCAAGTTGAGAGGGCCAGGACCCAGAAGGCCCTGGAAAAGAGATCAAGAGGGCCAGCTGGTAGTGGCGTGAATTGAGCCAGATTCAGGCTTTCCCTGGCCCCCTCGTGGCCAGGCCACGGCCGAGATGTCTTGGCCACGTCCGACGTGGTTTTTTACCAACTCTGCAGGCGACTAGACCGCATTTGAAACTTCCCCAGTGACTAGACTGCAAAAACCTGTTCCAATTCAAAATTGAAACTTAGGTTTTTGATGCGGCAACAGTTACCTCTTCCCGTCGCCCCCCCCCCTCCTCCCTTTTGTGATGGCTCCAATCTATTGGTGGGGAGCAGCACCTGCTGCACACTAGGAAAGGTCACAGCCTCATAAAAAAACCGATAAATTTGTGTTTGTGTAAAACTTTGAATGGATGTGTCTAAGGGACGCTGGACCCGGTTTCCAGCAGGTGCAGCTCCCCACCAATAGATGGAGCAGCCTCATAGCCAAAGCGTTAATCCTGGTGGTTCTCTCACCACCGCCGTGATAGAGGCCTTGCAGATATGGCTTTAAAAAAAAAAAAAAAAAAACTCAGAGGCAGAGTCTAAAGCATCAATTATTGTTCTCATTCGAGGGGATAGAGACCTGGCATGGGTATGTCTATTTTTCTGAGCCAACACAATCCATGCATGTGTGTTGCATAATTTGGCCGACTTGCTCCCCAGTGAGCGCTGGACATTTCTCGCATCCATATTGGCCAACACAGCATGGGCTTGTTACTCCTTCCTTGGCCCATCCAACAGAAATTAGACACTTCGCTCTTCATACTCAGCATGCCACAGAGCAGACACATCTACAATGGTACTTTCTGCCGTCGTACTGTTCGAACCATATCTATTATACACAACCCACCTGGAGCTTGCTTTCTTTTTTCTTTTTCGGTTTTTTTTGGGAAATTGCCTGCACCTGGAGCTTGCTTCGCACCCGAGCTCTGGGAACTTTCTTTCTTTCTTTCTTTCTTTCTTTCTTTCTTTCTTTCTTTCTTTCTTCCCCCCCCCTTTCTTTCAAACATCCGGGTGTTATTCGAAATATAAGCCTTGGGCACTGACTGGGCCCCTGATTTGGGAAAAACAAAAAGGCAGCAGGAGGCTACTTAAAGAACCCAGTGCTAGCTACCCTTGTCTATCCTTGATACATCCAGCACCTGCTGGAAACCGGGTCCAGCGTTTCGTTCACAATGGTACCACTGGCTGGATACCGAGTCCTGTGTCTCATTTTGAGTAGATCTCCCTGCCAAGTCTGAAACCGGTGCTGCCCTCGCTTCCGCACTGACCATATGTCAAAGCCCAAACCCACCTGTTTTTACTCACATTTTGCTGTTCTGTTTCCTTTGTTTTGGGCAAAACATCACCAAGCTTTATATCAGGCCCATTTGTCTCAATCAGCTATTCGCATCATAACCACCGCAAGGACTGTATTACGGCAGTGTGGCTACGCTATCCGTGCATGTCGATAGTCAACGTGTGTGATAGTACTCTTGCGTCCCTCTCCTTTCTTGTTTGTTTTTACTGTGTTTTCATCTTCTTCATGGATGCGCCTCCCCGGGGGCGCTGTTCCAATTGTGGTCAATCGGGCCATAATTCGTCTCGGGAGTGTCCACACCCGAGAAATGCTAACCAGAGGCTGCCCGTGGCAACGGGGGCTAATGCGGAGCCGATTCCGGCTTTGCCGGCTGCAAACTCACAACCTGCTGCCTGTCAATACGTATGCTGCCAAGCCTCGTACTGGATGGTGGACTTGTAATCAGCAGATTCTTGACAAGTGCAATGCCTTCGTGAGTAAGGCTGAACAAAAGGAGAGAGAGGAACAGGCTGCGGAAGAATGGCTGAAGAAGCAACGAGAAAAGGAAGAGGAGGCGGATCGACTTAAGAAGGAGCGGGAAGAGTTCGAGAGTCAAATGGGACAGAGATTGGAAAGTAGGCTGGACCCTATGTATGCCGTTATTATGGGGAATTTCAAAGGTGTTAATAGGGCCAGCGGCGGTTCGGTCGAGGATGAAGTCAGTCGCCTACGTCGGTAAAACGAAGAGATGCGTACCAGGTACGGTATCACGGAGCAGCTGCCATCCACCAATCTTGTTGACTGCTTGCAGAGGGAGAACGGGGAACTTGAGAAATTAGGGGAGGACCTGAAGTTAAGAATGGAGGGTGACTTAGCGGCGCTGAAGTGGGAGATCCGGGATCTCAAGGAGCACCGCAAATCGGCAGGGAGAAGTGACCTCACCAAACAGATAGAGGAAGTGCGTGCTGAAATGGAGGCCTTGCGTAAACAGAACGAGGAAACAGAACAGGTTGCTCAACTGTGGAGGAACGAGGCTCTTCGGCCTGGTAACAAGCATGGCAGCATCAACATTCCACTCCAGCCAGCGAAGGATTGTCACTGCTTACTCTCAGAAAAAAAAAAAAAAAAAAAAAAAGGTTGTATGGCGACTGGATCTCGACTGGGGATATGACCAGCTGCTTCGAGACCATACCAACAGATAACTCGCAGGATGGGCTGATCTATGCAATCAGGTTCTTCG